TCAAAATGTGTATGGAACACCTGGATGATAGACTATGCTACAGAACTTTTATGTCTGATCCAACTACAGAATATGTATCTGAGCTTGACACTTTACTATCTACTGTCTTACAAGATCAAGTTATAACTTCCAATGACTACAAATACCTATTACCACACAAAAACCTAACTACCACTACTTTTTACTGCCTACCTAAGGTGCATGAAAACATTAACGCACCTCTAGATAGACTGGCAGTATCAAGCAATACCTGCTTGACAAAACGTACAAGTTTATATATAGATAAAATCTTACACCCCTTGGTGACAGAGCTAACCTCTTATCTGCAAGATACTAAAGTTACTCTATTAGCCTTGGAATATCTGCAAGCTCCTCCTTACACGTTATTTGCCAGTCTTGAATTGTCTCCCTAGATGCCAACGTCCCACATGACAGAGGTATACAAGCCTGTGGGTTCTTTTTGGATTCCACTTCTATGACAATTCTCAAAAGAACTTCATTCTTTCCCTATTGGAATTTGTTCTTACCCATAATTATTTTATCTTTAATGGTAAATACTATCTTCAGATCACTGGCACTGCCATGGGTACGTCCTGTTCCCCGACCTATGCTAACCTGTTTCGGGGTTGGTGTGAACAGCATGTCGCTAATACCTCCAAATTCCAAATATAGTACCTACCATTACTACATCCTAAAATGGTACACATACATAGATGACATGCTGCTACTCCGGACAGGTTCAATTCCATGTTTTGAACAATTTGTCACCGAACTTAACATGAATGATCTAAATTTAAAATTGACACGTCATTGATGAGAAAGAACTTATCTTTTTGGATCTGAAGATTCTCATGATGGAAGATGGGACTATTCAAACACAACTATTTAGGAAATCAACGTCCACAAACTGCCTCATCCATTGGGATAATTATCACCCATACAATTTGAAGGCATCTATCCCTTACGGCCTATATCTTCGAGCCAGGAGGAACTGCTCAGAAGATGAGACCTTCTATCAGGAATGTCATCTCCTTAAAACACGCTTTAAGTCATTGGGCTACCACAACAAAGTCCTTAAAAGAGCTTTTCAGTGAGTTACCCAGACTGACAGACCAGAAAATCTTAGATCCAGCAGAAGAGACCATAATCCATCCACACTGAGATGTATAGCAACTTTTGACAGCCAATGGTCCACTGTGTCCAATAGTCTGTCAAAAAATTGGCCCATGGTTACATAATCCTATACTACAACAAACTTTAACAGACTGCCCAGCCCTCATGGCCTGCAGATTTCCAAACCTACAGATTCTCCTTGTACACAGCCATTTGGAACCCAGTCCCTCTAAGTCCAACTGGCTGACGCAGACCAAAGGTACTTTAAGATTCGGCCAGTGCAAAGCGTGACACTACATCATGCTCGCTAAATTTTCCAAATCTAGCCAGTCAAACATTACGGTATATAACAACGCATTAATAAATTGCAGCATCACTGTATCATTTATCTCGTTATCTGCAGTTGCTGTGCACAATACATCGGCAAGACCTTTTGGCAATTTCGACACAGGATACTACAGCCCATTGCATCTGTCACCAATGTCACAGCATATTTGGATATTAATTTAATGTAATAATCTTCAAATTAATATCTAATTACTATCACACAATACATCATACTTTATCAACTCAGTCATTTATCTTATAGCTTTATATATGTTTTCTTTTATTTTTTACCCTTTGTGTCACTATACCCCACTCCCTCTAGAATGTAAGCTCATTGAGCAGGGCCCTCCACCTCTCTATTCCTGTATGTCCAGTTGTCTGGTTACAATTACATGTCTGTTAGTCCACTCATTGTACAGCGCTATGGAATCTGATGGCGCTATATAAATAATAATAATATAGGATTTTTTCACTTAGACATCCTTACATTGGGTAGGCAATTCACAATAGCTTGCACTGCAAATTTAATTTGTGTATATGATCTCCCTCCCCGGTCCGCAGGCACTGTGCTGGCGGCCGGCGTGGGAGGGAGAGGGAGTGAGAGAGAGGACCCGGAGCTCAGGCTGCGGCTCCTCCGGGTCCTCCTCTCGCGAGATTTGGAGCATTGCCGCTCCAAATCTCGCGAGAGTGAACTCTAGCCCGGGAGCGCGGGCTAGAGTTCACTGTCCCCACTGGGACCACCAGGGAATCACCACTGGGACCACCAGGGAACGAAATATGTCCCCCCTCCCCCCCAGCAAAGGTAAGAAGGGAGGGGGGACATAGAATATTTATATTAAAAATTAAAATAAAAAATATATATTTAAAAAAAAGCCCCCCCTACCCTTATCACACACACACACACACACACACACACACATACACTGATCCCCATACTGCCCCCCATACACACACATTGCCCCCCTACACACACTCTACACACGTACACTACCTGATACACACACACTGCCCCCATACACTGCTGCCCCATACACACACATACACTGCAATACTCACACACACACTGCAACTGTTACACACACATACTGTCCCACACATACACTGCTGCCCTCACACACACACTGCGCACACACTGCACCACTCACACACACCACTGCTCCTATGCCCTACTACTGCCCCATTTCCCAGAAGACCTCAGGTAAGTTGTCAAACTGTTCTTAAACGGTTTGACTACTTACTCTGGGAAGGGGTCCCGGCACTATTGACACCATAACCACTACACTGAGCTGTAGTGGTTATTGTGTCTGGATTATTGCTTTAAATAATCAACAAGTGCCCCTCCCGAGATCAGGCTCGGGATCCGCCACTGCTTTGACTCAGGGTTAACTACTTCCCTTGAAGATGGTAGTATAGTGCATCTTATTTTCCTTCATCTATACATCCTTTTAGTTTTGGGAGTGCTTGTTTAAATTTTTTTCTACTTTTGTATATCAAGTATACGGACATTATATTTAGTAGACAATTCATCTACTCCGGTAGTTAGTCTGGGTAAATATCATCATGTGATATCACATCCCATTATGTTGTACCAGTCGGTACATATATACTTTCTCTATGACATTTTATACATCAGCATGTGGATATTACATTGAGCAGCTAGTTTATCTGCACCGGTGGTTTCACACGGTCAATACAGGTATTGTACTGTACTTACGATCTTTCCTTTATACCTTACTACTAACCTGAGATTTCATTCAGGATAAACTTACTACTTACATGTACTTATTCTTACTTCTGTATTTACTTGCCATTCTGGTAATCGGCACTTTTACGGCTTCCCTAACTAAACAAATCCTTCTGAGATGACGTCATTATCAACACACCTATCCACCTATCATAACTAAGAGTGCATTATTGAAACCTCTAACTGTAGGGATTAATTTCCCCCTTGAAGAGCCGTTTACTCTTGAAATGTGCATCGAGCTAAGCTGGATACCTCATCCCTTGTTGGAAGTCCTGATCTGGTTTTTCAGTTAATCTCTTATTCAGCTGACTTTTTGTGAATGAATATATATATATATTTTATATAGATACACAGGAGGCTACCAGGCTGTGGTGTCGGCATTTATCTTATTACTCTGGCTGCTAACCACTGACACTATTGGACGGTGTGGTGTTTAGCTGGACACGGTCGTACTGGCTTTAAATTATACAGCAATAATCATTTTTTGCAGTCTGGGATTTATCTTAACTGAGCCAGATTAGAGTGCTTTTCACTATATTTAGAATTGTAGCTGCCCTCGAAGGCACAAATTATTGTTAATCTCTACTTTAGTTTGGTAAGAAATAGAAAGGAGGGAAAGGACCTTTGTTTAAAAGATATTCACGGAGATTAGCAGCTACTTAGATTTAATATTATTAGATTTAATAGCGCTAATACTTTCCTATTTGTTATCTACTTTAGTTTGGCATTAGGGATCTTTACATTGTCAGCTCAAGCTCAATTAGACGATATATACTTGTGTTTACAATTCTGTTATCCCAGGCATTCCATTTAGACGTGTTATTGCGATCAAGGAGTGCAATATAGACATTATATGCATAATTCTATCGCATTACCATATGTGACTTTTTTAGATAATATCCCCTTTATTTTTATTTTTTGTCTTTA